TTCAAGCAATTCTCTGCCTCAGCCTCCCGAGTAGCTGGGATTACAGGCACCTGCCACCATGCCCAGCTAATTTTTTGAATTTTTAGTAGAGACCATGTTTCACCATCTTGGCCAGGCTGATCTTGAACTCCTGACCTGATGATCCACCCGCCTCAGCTTCCCAAAGTGTTGAGATTACAGGCATGAGCCATCCTGCCCAGCCACTACTTTTAAAACTATAGACACATAATTAAAAGCTATTATGAGTTATTTCTCTCTCTTGAAAAGGTATGTCTTTGACTTAGAAATACTATACCTGGAAATCGCTCATAGAGAAATAATGGAAAATGGAGACAAGAGTTAGAGTGCAAAATGTTCAACATAACATTATTTGTAATTAAAGCTTTAGAAATAATTTAAATGCCCACCTTACAAAAAATATTAAATAAATGATGGTATGCTCACAAAGAATATAATTCTTAAAAATCACATTTTCAGAAATTAATGAAAATTCTTACAATGTGATAAGGAAAAAGACAAAACTATACAATATGATGCCAATTTATTTTTTAAATGTGTATTTGTACCGGTGTAAATATAGAAAAAAAGACTAAAAGTAAATGCTCTAAACAATTATTTACTGGCAATCTGTTGATATTGGACTTTTAGGTGTTTTTCTATCACTATTTCCTATTATTTTTTGTTTTTCAAATAATTATATATTACTTTTACAATGAGGAAAAAACTCACAAAACAAAAATGGGGAGTAAGAGGGCACCATACAAGTGAAGTGACTGACAGCATATAAAAACCAATCTAAATGCTCTAAATCTGTATTTCACCATTGCTAGAGAAAGTAAATTGGAAATAATTCCAGAAAAAAGATGATCTTGTTACAAAATGGTAGCTAGACAGGCCCCCTGGAGTGACACAGCATTTGAAAATGATTGGCTGAAATGGCCTAAGTAGGCCAACCATACTGTACCGTAGTCAAGTTCAAATCCTATCCTGTTTGACAGTGTAACTACATCCACAGCAGCCAAAGATAATGTGCTTTGCTCATAAAGGACATATCCCCAGTGTTGCTGTTAACTTCATTGTTTCTGCAAAAGGAAGTTCCAGGAACAATAATTAAATGTTGACCCATCAGATTTGACGCCAGTCCCCAGCTGGGCCCCATGCCAGCTTCATGCTTCTCCCTCCTTGCCCAGTTGATTTCTCTTCGGTCTTCATTAATTTCTTCTCTGGGCACCAGCGGACTCTGGAGGAGGAGGAAATAGCTTGATCTCAGCACCCAGCAGCTCCACTGGCTTACAGTCACAGCTTCTCTTTTCATGAGGTTTTCTGTTTCCTATTCAGATTCTCCATTGATTACCCATCATTTGGACCCAGTTCCTTCTTTTGAGTGACATCAGACTCTGACCCTTCAATCTTCTGACAACCTCTGTGCTGCAGTTCTTCCATCATCTCCAGCTCTTCCAACACCCATCCCCATGCCTCATCCGCCTCCTGTCTCACTGTCACACCACATGGCTCCTGCCAAGAAATACCTTGAGGCTTGCCTCTCACCTCTTCTGGCCCATCCATGACTTCTAGTGACACTGGTGCTATTGTTCAGCCCTTCTTACTTCACCCTTGTAGCAGAAACAAAGCCCCTGCCACTTGACTGCTATCATGAATGCCCAGTGCACCCCCCAGGTCTCAGCCACGTCAGTTCCACTTTTGCTTGGGAACACTGCTGGCAAAGTTATGAAGCCTTGTTGATGGAGCACAAGATCCAAGCAAGCTTTCCAATGTCTCCCTGGCCCTCCATCATGGGGCCAGTGAACGCTCTCATTCATCTCTTGCTGACTCCCCGTTGTCATTCCTTATACTTCTGCTCCAAATATTTCCCACCTACAAATTCTTAGCTCTTAGAGGTGAGCTAGACTGGACTTTTGCACATAGATCGAGGTCCCACCGAAGAGCTGTTTTATGGTCTTAGTTCACAAGAATGTAAAGACTACATTCATGTTCCCTCCAGACCCAGGGTAGCACATTCCCCAGCCTTTCTCAAAGCCGTCTCCTCTGCTTGCCCTCCTTGGGGATCTTCCTCTGCCAATAACCCTCCAATGCCTTCTTTCCTGGTAGCTTTACCTGTTCCTTCTTCAATGGCTCCCTTCTCTGCCTTAAACATATTTGCCGTCCGATGAAAACTTCTAGGGAGTTTTTGATAACGATTGAATTTTTCTCCTTTTCACTGTCAAACCCATCCAGTGACAGTCTTCATTTCTGATTCCGTCTCCTCACTGCCCATCATGCTAACCTCTCCTTCTCTAGTTTCAACCCATGTCTCTTTGCTAAAGACGACTTCAAGTTCACTAGCTGCCTCTCAACTACCAGATGGCTGAGCCCAGGGCCCTCTTCTCAGCTTCCATTTTCCAGAAGCCTCCAGCTTCAGGTTCCAATAATCCTGCCCTCCTTTTTAATTTTTATTTATTTTTGAGATGGAGTCTCACTTGTCACCCAGGCTGGAGTGCAGTGGTGTGATCTTGGCTCACTGCAACCTCTGCCTCCTGGGTTCAAGCAATTCTCTTGCCTCAGCCTCCTGAATAGCTGGGACTACAGGCATGCACCACCATGCCTGGCTAATTCTTATAGTTTTAGTAGAGACGGGGTCTCTATGTTGGCCAGGCTGGTCTTGAACTCCTGGGCTCAAGTGATCTGCCTACCTCAGCCTCCCAAAGGGCTTGGATTACAGGCATGAGCCACCTCGCCCAGCCCAGCCTGTCCTTCTTAACATTCTCCCCTTCTTCATCTTCTGTGATAGCAGGTGATGCTCTTTGACTAGCCCCTCAGTGGTCCTACCTCCTTTAAGGGTCCTCTTAATGTAACTACCCCGTTGGCTGAGCCAAAGCCTTCTGAGTTTCTCCTTATGTTGCCTTCTTCCTTAAATGTTGTTATCTATTTTTCTGACTTCAGATTTCACACTGAGAATAAAGGAAGAATTGGCACAAATTCTGATTGACCGCATACATATGGGACTGCACCCAATAGTCCACACTTATTTAGCGGTCCTCATTCTCAGAGTGACACACTTCCCTGCAGTTGCTGCCTTTTGGTGCCCATTTACACGAGAGGCCAATTCTAGGCAGGAAATGCCGATGGGAGGGTTTATAGTCCAGGCACACCCATTTGCTCATGTGGGCTTCCTTAGAGAATTCTTGAGTAGATTTGGTCTTTTTATATCCCCCGATCCTGGTTCCTTGTCCCAGGATGGGATTTTGACACCAGCCACCATCGTCACCCATCTCTGTGTGGCACAAGAATTTCCATTTCTAACAAGTCCCCAAGTCCCCTGGTGATACTAACACAGCTGGTCTGGACACACTATTTTGAGAACTTCAGTAGTAGAGCCACAAACACAGGTTTTGAAGCTACATATACCTGGGTTTAAAGTCCCTGCTTTGCCACTTACTAGCGTGGGACCTCAGGTTCTCTGTGCCTCCATTTTCTCATCTATAAAATGAGGCTGATACCATCTACCATGCAAAACTGTGAGGGTCAGGAATATGTTACATAAAGCACCTGTGCATACGTTGTTAGTGCCCATGATGGTCATCTTCCCTCCCTCCCTCCTTTCCTCCCTCCCTTCTTTCCTTTTCCCCTCCCTTCTACCCTCCCTCCGTTCTTCCTTCCTTCCTTCCCTCATTCATTTTTTTTTTTTTTTTGAGATGGAGTTTCACTCTCGTCACCCAGGCTGGAGTGTTATGGCGCGATCTCAGCTCACTGCAACCTCTGCCTCCTGGGTTCAAGTGATTCTCCTGCCTCAGCCTCCTGAGTAGCTGGGATTACAGTCATGTGCCATCATGTCTGGCTAATTTTGCATTTTTGGTAGAGACAGGGTTTCTCCATGTTGGTCAGACTGGTCTCGAACTCCCAACCTTAGGTGATCTGCCCGCCTTGGCCTCCCAAAGTGCAGGGATTATATATGTGAGCCACTGCGCCTGGCCCTCCCACTTCCTTTTTTCCTTCTTTCCTTTTCTTTCTCTTTATTCTTTGCAATCCTCCTTCCTTGGCCCCCCAAAGTGCTGGGATTACAGGTGTGTGCTACACCTGCAGCAATACCGTCAGCATATCCTGAGAATGAGCCTCGATGGCAGACACAGCTGACAGCAGCTCTTCGGAATGAGGGTTGCCATGTGGAGGTTACTGGGTGGGGTGAAGGTGCCTATAAACTGCATGCTTTTTATATGCGGTTGCAGTTCTCCTGTCCGGCCTGTTGACACTGGACTGTTTCCGTATGTAAATTTCTCCAATAAACTGTAGGTCTTTTTCATCCGCTCTATGTCTGTTCATCAGCCTCTTGAACTGGTGCCATCCCTACTGAAGTCAACAGGGGCCCAGCACAACCAACCATGCCTGGCTCAGCAGTTATAAATAAAACATATACATTTATGGTTTTAAAATATTCAAAAACAAATTTGGGATACTTAATTTGCTGAGTTAGGAAAAAATCCTAAACCACAAAAATATATCTGTCATCACCATTATTTCATAAAATAAAAGGCATTTTTTTTTTTGAGACGGAGTCTTGTTCTGTTGCCAGGCTGGAGTGCAATGGCACAATCTCGGCTCAGTGTAACCTCCGACTCCCAGGTTCAAGCAATTCTCCTGCCTCAGTCTCCCAAGTAGCTGGGATTACAGGCGCATGCCACCACAGCCAGCTAATTTTTGTATTTTTGGTACAGATAAGGTTTCACCATTTTGGCCAGGCTGGTCTTGAACTCCTGACCTCAGGTAATCCGCCTGCCTTTGCCTCCCAAAGTGCTGGGATTACAGGCGTGAGCCACTGTGCCTAGCCAAATAAAGGGCATTTTAACACATATATCCACTAAAAAAGGACATCAGCCCAGAACATGCAGAACTTTACATTAATTGCAGTTAGCTTAATAGAATACTCACTGTCTGATCTGTGTGGTTCCCACACTCTGCTAGACTCGTGAACACATTGTCATAAATCAGCACTAGTCCAGAAATGGCATTTTGGAACAGCTGAGCAGTTGTATCTTCCAGTGACCCTCAACATCTGGCAGTTGCTCCCCGTGTCTCTCTTGATTGCCTGCCTGGTTTCTGTGCAGTGCCAGGTTCCATTGCTTTTGACATGAATGAGAAATGTGGCAGGAATCCAAATGACTCTTGCTCTTGACCTTTTGGCAGTTGGGATTACTGGCACTGAGCAGTACCAGACTGAGGAGGCGCGTAAGAACCAGACTTCTAGTTAAAGCCTTGAGCAGAAATAAAGCAGAGAGGTTTCAGCAAACAGCAGAGCCTGCTAGAGCGTGCACTTATTCATTCATCCAACAAATACCTATTAATTTGCCATGTGTCTGGCACTGTTTTAGGGTCTGGAGTGACAGCAGAACACTTCAGTATAGTGTAACAGCTCAGAACAGAGTAATCGTTCAACTGTTATATTGAACAAAATAGGCAAAGTCTTACATTGGGAAAAGCAGAGTCAAAGTTATTCTATTCAAGACAGAAGTTCAGTGGCTCATATCTGAAATCCCAGAACTTTGGGAGGCTGAGGTGGGCAGATCACCTGAGGTCAGGAGTTCGAGACCAGCCTGGCTAATATGGTGAAACCCTGTCTATACTAAAAATACAAAAATTAGCCAGCAGTGGTGGTGCATGCCTGTAGTCCCAGCTCCTCGGAAGGCTGAGGCAGGAGAATTGCTTGAACCTGGGAGGTGAAGGTTGCAGCAAGCTGGGATTATGATATTGCACTCCAGCTTGGGTAACAGAGTGAAACTCCATCTAAAAAAAAAAAAAAAAAAAAGAAGAAGTTAGACTTGATTAGATCTGATGGTAGTATTTAACAGTGAAAGTTTTTCTTTCTTTTTTGAGATGGAGTTTCACTCTGTTGCCCAGGCTGGAGCGCAATGGCAGGATCTCAGCTTACTGCAACCTCCCCCTTCTGGGCTCAGGTGATTCTCCTGCCTCAGCCTCCTGAGTAGCTGCAATTACAGGCACCCATCACCACGCCTGGCTAATTTTTGTATACTTAGTAGAGACAGGGTTTTGCCACATCGACCAGTCTGGTCTTGAACTCCTGACCTCAGGTGATCCACCCGCCTCAGCCTCCCAAAGTGCTGGGATTACAGGCGTGAGCCACCTCGCCCAGCCCTAGGTCTTTTACCAAAGTATATTTGCCCTAATTCTTGCCACAACCTTAATTTGATTTAATCTTTTCTCCTCCCACTTGCCAGCATGAATCCTTATCCATGGGATTTTATAAAGATTAAATGAAATCAAATACACTGAAACCGCGCAGGGCCAGATGAGAAATGGTGTGTGTGTATAAAATATGTGATATAGTATTATTCAATGCTTCAACTGCTCTACTCTTTCATCACTTCTTTTACAACCAAGGATTTCAGTATTTTAAATGCGACCACCAGAGGTCTGTGTACCTGTACCTGTCTTCCCTGAGAGAGAGCTGCACCATCACTGCATACCCCTGTGACTCCTACCAGGATTACAGGAATGGCAAGTGTGTCAGCTGTGGTGCCTCACAAAACCAGTCCTGTCCCCTCCTGGGTAAGTCCAACAAGCAGTTTCGTCTCTGATTAACAAAGAACTAACTTTTGGTATGAATTCCAGAACCACTTTATCATGTAAAAACTGGCCCCACACTTGTATTAAAAACTTGTTTTTCTGCTGGGCACAGTGGCTCATGCCTGTAATCCTAGCACTTTGGGAGGCTGAGGCAGGCACAGTGGCTCATGCCTGTAATCCTAGCACTTTGGGAGGCTGAGGCAGGCACAGTGGCTCATGCCTGTAGTCCTAGCACTTGAGGTCAAGAGTTCGTGACCAGCCTGGGCAAAATGGTGAAACCCTGTCTCTATAAAAATACGAAAAGTAGCTGGCTGTGATGGTGTGCGCCTGGAGTCCCAGCTGCTCGAGAGGGAGGCTTAGGTGGGAGGATCGCTTGAGCCCAGGTGGTTGAGGCTGCAGTGAGCTGAGATCGTGCCACTGCACTCCAGCTTGAGTGACAGAGCAAGAACCTGTCTCTAAAAATAAATAAATAGAAGGTTAAATTAAAATTTTTTTCTTCTTAAAAAGAAAAAAATTTAAAAAAAGGCAACTTTTTTTTTTCTAGTCAGTTTTTCTGGCCAATTTGTTCTTTGAACTACTCTAGTCTCCTGCTAATAAACAATGTTAGAAAAGCAACTATAGGCCGGGCGCGGTGGCTCAAGCCTGTAATCCCAGCACTTTGGGAGGCCGAGGCGGGTGGATCACGAGGTCAAGAGATCGAGACCATCCTGGTCAACATGGTGAAACCCCGTCTCTACTAAAAATACAAAAAACATTAGCTGGGCATGGTGGCGCGTGCCTGTAATCCCAGCTACTCAGGAGGTTGAGGCAGGAGAATTGTCTGAACCCAGGAGACGGAGGTTGCGGTGAGCCGAGATCGCGCCACTGCACTCCAGCCTGGGTAACAAGAGTGAAACTCCGTCTCAAAAAAAA